TGATGGTTTGTCACATATATTTGTCACAATATAAGTAATAAATTCGAATTTATCATGTGACAAATGCGAATTTATCATTTATATTGTGGCACAAGGTGTGATATATTCGAATTTATTATATGACAAATTCGAATTTATCACAAAGAGTGATTATATAAAGATATAACCTAAAATTAGGCTCAATCCTGCTCAATCTGGACCTAATCCGATGTTTCAGATACTAAATCTAATCTGATGGTTTGGATCCGCACAAATCTGAATCTGATTTGTGCTAACTTTTTCAAACACTATTAAAACTATTTGCTAAAGCAACAGAATTTTTAGAAGGAAGCAATTATTTAATAATTAGTTTTATATTTTATGTTATTTCAATTTTAGCTTCTGATTTTGCATCAAATGATGATAATAATTCAGTAATGATTAATTTTGAATCAAGTGCAACTGCATTTGATAATGATATTACTTATAAAAATGCAGATAAGGAAATAGATAAGATAACTAATTGAACTTGACGAATTTGAATCAATATACTCCAAAATTATAATAGGCTTATCAAACAAATCAAAATTGCTTTAAATAAAAGCTTACACTATTATTATTCTGTTTCTTTTGAAGTTGGTATGCTAGCAGCATTGCTGAACCTTTGGTGTAAATCTCTTAACTTTGTTTCAAAAAATAAAAAATTAAAAACAATAAATATATTAAGAGATATGATTGCAAACCTACAATCTAATTATGAAAAAATTCAACAAATATCTAAAAGTAACAACTCACTTATTACTCGAATATTTTAGCTATATCATTCTCAAATAGATGAAGTAATTGATTATTTTGATCAAGCTGAAATTTCTTTAATACATAATTCTTTTAGTTGGTGGAAATATAATTAGAAAAGATTTTTTATAATTATCAAGCTTGTTCGCAAATATTTTTCTATTCTTGCAACATCAACACATGTCTTCAAAATATACTAATCTTAAGCCGCAAGTATTTGAACAACTTATTTTTTTAAAAAAAATTATAATTTAGTCAGTGATATATTTCCAAAGTAATAAAGTTCAAGAATATAATATATTTCTAAAGTAATGCAGTTTAAAACTATATATTAAAAGTGCTGTAAGTATCTTATATTCTAATTTTATTTTATACTTATTATTTTTAGATTTTGTTATAAATTATTAAGAAATTTCAGTAGATGCCAATAAAATGATAAATGAAAATTGGAATGCAGTTAATAAAAAAAAACTTAATTGCTTAAAAATTTTTAGTTTTTTTTTGCAAGATGCAATTATTAAATTTTTAGATTAGTTTTTAGAAATTATATGACAGGCAAGCAAATACTACCATGGCTATAAAGGTTAAAAAAATTAATAAAATTCTCATTTGCTATAAGTTATTGGCCCAATATATATATTATAGTTTTGAATATTCAAATTTAATATTATTGTAAAATTATAATTAAAACTTTCCCTAATTTTTCTATTGAATTTTTTGTTTTAATTTTATTTGACTTATACAAATATCTGCTTAGTTGGTCAAAGACAAATAGACAGATATGGATAAACTCTGGTTTATCTGAACGAATAGATAGATCTCACCTTTAATCAAGGGAAAGTAACTTCTCCTCTAGTATGAAAGATATTCTATAATCTGCTACTAATACATATATAAGAAAACAAAGAAACAGGTTATGCTATAGAGATAACATAGCCTAAAGACATAAGAAGAAATATAGTGAAGATACAAGAATTGAGGGTGCCAATACTTGCATATACAGATAATACAGTATACATTGCAAAAATAAAAAGGAGCTAAACAAGATTACAGATATAGCAAAAAAGTTTTTTGAAATCAATAACATAGAAATAAATACAAAAAAGTCAAAGCTGGTAGTGCTTTCTCAGCAAACTAGGAAATAGCGGATAGTAGAATAAGATTTGGACCAAAGAAAGAATTGGTAATCTGAAAGAAGTTAGAAGATCTGATAAGGTATCTTGGAATTTGGATATTTGAAAAAATGAAACAAAAACATATATGTGAGATTATTAGAAAAGAAGTAGTAAAGTAACTAAAAAAGAAAAAAATATTTCTAGCATATATGCAGTGCATTAATAATAGAGTGTCAATACCAAGAATAGAATATAGAAGTCAACTCTATATCCTTTCAAGTGAAGTTTGCAATAGACTACAGAGTCTAATCTTTATGCTAATAAAAAACAAGACAAAGATGATATATACAATGCCAAATGCAGCTATAGCATATCAAAACATAGTGAAAATAAGGACAATTTGGCAAAACCAACTAGTATATCCACATCATAGAACTAACTGCAAGATTAAACAACAAGCAAGACATAGACAAAGCTATATGACTAAGAATTATACAAACATAGCTGAATCTCAAAAACAGCAAATGTATTGTAATATAACAATACAGAGTCTTAGTAAAGCTATACTACTTGACTTAACATGTAAGAGGGTTAAGAAATGTGTTTGCAAATAAGAA